TAACTGTGACAGTGACTTTGACTTCATTCTCTTGGACATTTTTGCATGGCTTGAATTCAGTTTGCTTTGTTTGAGACAGTATCTCTTCACAGCCAAGGCTAGCTTGGAACTCTAGATTCTGCTGGGATTATAGGTACAAGCCAGAAAGGTGTCATCCTTCACTTGTCTCCCTGGAGACCCACAAATCAACAGTGTCAGACACACGGGCCACCCTAGTCAGCAGCTCCCTTCACACCTATCCTCCTTCATAGGAACCCCCACAGCCCCTCTGTCGCTCAAGGATGGCCTTCCTTCCCCCTTCATTGTGAGCATGGGTCCTCTGTGATTCAGCTGTGAGTCCTCCACTGTTCAGCTGTGAGTCCTCCACTGTTCAGCTGTGAGTCCTCTGTGGTTCAGCTGTGAGTCCTCTGTGGTCCAGCTGTGAGTCCTCCACTGTTCAGCTGTGAGTCCTCCACTGTTCAGCTGTGAGTCCTCCACTGTTCAACTGCCAGTTGTCTGACATCACTGTCTTGGCACAGCAGCCAACACTGGGCCAGGGGTCACTGGTTGTCACCAGATCTCAGAGCAAGAAAAGAGTTGCATCAGTTCCATCCATGTCTCAGATTCAGCTGAGAGCCATGATTTCAAACCGATAGAGGGAACAGTAGAACAAATCTTAACTCTACCTCAGGCCAGCCGGGTGCTGTCACATGGGGCACCTTGACCCTTCCCCCACTCTCTTCTGTCAGACAGGTCATCACGACACAAACGCTGCATGCTCGCTCTCCCGCTCACACGTAGAAGCTGAAAACCAGCAGACACTGAAAACAGTGTTGGTCACACAGAAGGAAAGGAAAGAACCAAGGTCAGTGGTGTCTGGGTGAGGATAGCGAAAGAAGACAGATCATAGGCACCAAAATATAGGTGGACAGGAATCACTAGTTACAGCGTTCCCCGGCACAGAAACATAATTACAGCAAACATCTAACACACACCTCAAAACATCTAGATGAAAGGATTTTAGACTTCCCAAGAAATAACAAATGCCCGGGATCAGAAACCACGTATATTTACACTGTATTCTGTAAATATGTAAAATGGTTACATTATTTAGATGCAAGACTAGACTTGGATCCTAGCTCAGTCTGGCCTGGTGTCTTAATCAAGCTAGAAATTATGGTGGCCATCTTGTGCTCTCAAGGGAAACCAGTCTCCAAACTGGAAGGGGCACAGCCAGAATGTGCTGAGAAATTGCCAGGTCCTGTCGGCTTTTCAGTTTAGTTCCTTCATTTGTCTGAATATCTAATGTCTTGATTGGACTGTGAGTTCTCTGAAATCAGAAACCATCTCTTTTCTACATCTTTCCATCCTAACCTGGGGAAAAACTGACACAAAGTACAGAGAATGCTCTTTGTTGAACTGTATTGAATGCAAGCCTATTTAGGCTAAGGGCATCTCTCTCTCCTGATCACTGCCACTCACCTGTTCTTTCAAATCCTCTTTGAGGGTAACTATGATGCTGTTCTTAGACCACAGTTTCTTAGATGCTTCCATCTCTGGAGGAGTTTGCCTTGTCTTATTACAGCAGAACAGCGGGATAATTTTCCCCATAAGAAGCATGCTTCCAGGAGTTCGGCTCAGTGCTTAACTATGAATCTCTGCTTCTGCTTCCATCAGCTACTGGATGAAGACTCTATGATGGTGTTTAAGGTAATCATCAATCTCGTTATAGGGGAAAGGCATTTAAGGTAGCTTCTCCAGTATTGCTGAGATTCTTAGTTGGGGTCATCCTTGTGGATTCCTGGGAGTTTCCCTAGTGCCAGGTTTCTCACTAAGCCCAGAAAGGCTCCCTCTATCAAGGTATCTCTTTCCTTGCTCTCCTTCTCTGTTCTTTCCCCAACTTGACTTTCCTGATGCCTCATGTTCTCCTCCCCTCCCCTTCTCCCCTCCTGTTTCTTCTATACCTCCCATGCTCCCAATTTACTCAGGAGATCTTGTCCCTTTCCCCTTCTCAGGGTTCCATGTGTGTCTCTCTTTGGGTCCTCCTTGTTTCCTAGCTTCTCTGGGGTTGAGGATTGTAGGCTGGTCATCTTTTGCTCTATGACTAATATCCACTTATGAATGAGTACATACCATGTTTGTCTTTCTGTGTCTGGGTTACCTGACTCAGGATGGTTTCTTCTATTTCCATCCATTTGCCTTCGAATTTCAAGATTCCATTTTTTTAATGCTGAGTAGTACTCCATTGTGTAAATGTACCACATTTTTTTTATCCATTTTTCAGTTGAGGGGCATCTAGGTTGCTTTCAGGTTCTGGCTATTACAAATAATACTGTCATGAACATAGTTGAACAGATGTCTTTGTAGTATGAATGTGCATCCTTTGGATATATGCTTAAGAGTGGAATTGCTGGCTCTTGAGGTAGGCTGATTCCCATTTTCATGAGAAACCACCATATTGATTTCCAAAGTGGCTGTACAAGTTTGCATTCCCACCAGTAATGGAGGAGTGTTCCCCTTTCTCTACATCCTCTCCAGTATAAGCTGTCCTTGGTGATTTTTTTTTTAATTTTAGCCATTCTGACAGGTGTAAGATGGTATCTCAGAGTTGTTTCGATTTGTATTTCCCTGATGGCTAAGGATGTTGAACAATTCAAGTGCCTTTTGGCAATTTGAGATTCCCTCTGTTGACAATTTTCTATTTAGTTCTGTACCCCACTTTTTAATTGGATTATTTGGTGTTTTGGAGACTTGCTTCTTGAGTTCACTGTAAATTTTGGAGATCAGCCCTTTGTCAAATGTGGGATCGGTGAAGATCTTTTCCCATTCTGTGGGCTGCCTTTTTGTCTTGTTGACTGTGTCCTTGCCTTACAGAAGCTTCTCAGTTTCAGGAGGTCCCATTTATTAATTGTCGACCTCAGTTGTAGAGAGGGAGGAGTGATGAGCAAAGGGGTCAGACCGTGCTGGGGAAACCACAGAAACAGCTGACCTGAACAAATGGGAGCTTATGGACTCTAGACTGACAGCTGGGGAACTTTCATAAGACTGAACCAGGCCCCCTGAATGTGGGTGTCAGTTGGGGGACTTGGGCAGTCTATGGGACTACTGGCAGTAGAACCAGTATTTATCACTAATGCACGAACTGGGCTTTTGGAGCCCATTCCCTATGGAGGGGGTACTCTCAACCTAGATACAGCGGGGAGGGCCTCAGTGCTGCCCCAAATGATGTGACAGACTTTGATGATCCCCCATGGGAGGGTTCACCTTCTCTGAGGAGTGGATGAGGTGTGGGATGGAGAAATGGGAAGACCAGAGGGAGAAAGAACTGGGATTAGTATGTAAAATAAGTTTGTTTTTAATTTAAATTGAAAAAAAATTTTTTTAAAGCATGCTTCCTCCTTTTAACAACTTGACAGCCTATTGTTTAAGCCTGTCAGGGAGAAAAGACCAGAAGTGATTTACAGAGGAAATTTGGCTCAGGTGTCTTCCCCAGACGCTACCAGTATCCTGAGACCATCCAGAGAGTTAATTCATGTAAACATTTGCACACGCAACAGAATTTCAGTGGATCTTGGTATTTCTACAGGGTGTTCAATTACTAGCATTTACCATCTGGTCTGTTTGCATGGCTGAGTGTGGTGTCTGCCCAGCATGCGGGTTTGCCTCATTCTCCAGACATTTATAGAACCTAAGCACTGTGCTAGGCACAGAGGAGAGAAAAACAGAAAACAGCACTCTCCACTCTTGAAAGGGAAGACTACAAGAAAATCACTGTGAAACGATACAGTGAAACAAAGTAAACTTGGGGATTGAATCTGGCAGTGGGATACATGGAAGAGGGGGAGACTCTCTGAAGTCAGCCTGGGCAAGGTCAGAAACTGTTCCCACTGGAAACACGGCAGAGAAGAAAAGGCTCAGAAGGCAAGTGAGGAACTTGGGGCTTTTACACCAAACCATAAACCAAAGGAGTGAGTAAGGGAAACTCAAACCAGGAGAGAGACAAGAGAATCAAGAGATGAAGGCCTTGGTGTTCCAAAGACAGACATGAATGAGCAGGGGAGTTAGCAGTACACATAGTCTCTGAGTCGGGCTCACTGGTAGCCATGACATATATGTATGCAAATACAAAATGTTTACGTGTGTATACGTTAATTTTCGATTTTTCTCGTTTCCAATGTGAAGTACATACAGAGTGTACACTGGCTGGGTGTAGCAACGAGTAGCCTGCAATACACCACTAGACAAATTTACCTCCTGCTAGTGTTTCACTCCGTACTAGCTAATCTTACTAGCTTGACCAGATCTAAAAGTCACCAATCAGCAAGCCTCAGGGAGTGTCTGGGAGGGCTTTCCTAAATTAGGCTAATTTGGGCAAAAAGGCCCACCTTAAATGTAGCAGCATAACTCTGTATGCTGAGGTTCTAGGATGCCTAGAAAGCAAACAGCAAAAAGTGAGCACTTCTCTCTCTCTCTCTCTCTCTCTCTCTCTCTCTCTCTCTCTCTCTCTCTCTCTCTCTCTCTCTTTCTCTCTCTCTCTCTCTCTCTCTCTCTTCCTCTCTCTGTTTCCTGACTAGATACAATGTGACCAACTCCCTCACCGGCCCCCATCATGGACTATCCCTGCAACTGCAAGCCCTGACCAGCTGCCTCATCCCCCACCCCCACCCCCACCCCCACCCCCACCCCCCAGACAAACTGTCCCTGCAACCATGAGCTAAAACAATCATTCTTTCTTAAGTTGTTTGGTCAGGCATTTTGTCCCAACAAGTAGAAAATAACTAATGCACGCTCCATTGCCTTATTATTTATAATCCCCCATCTATGTGATAACCACCATCAATTTGGCTGAAAAATTAATGTTAATGCAGTTATTTTGCCTAATCTACTGCCCATGTTTCAGTTTTGTTACATGGTCTATTACAGAATTATGTTCTTCCACTAAACAATTCAGTTTAGGACCAGGTATTGCATTTAATTACTATGGCAAATTTTTGTTGTTTTTTTGTTTATTTGGTGCAGAATGACAAATGTTTTAAATTGGTAAAAAGAATTGTACACATTTATCTGCTAATCTTTAAATACATGGGCTCTTAAACATCAACAGAAAAACCTGCCAAAATCTTGCTACCCGCTCCAGCGGGATCTGCCTCAGCTAGACGCTTAGCAACTTAGAATCATGCACACACCCAGGAGATTCACTGGGTATTGGAGTCTGGGAGGCAACCACATCCCTCCTTAAGGAAAAAACGCCAGTTCAGGACTGGAGAGATGTCTCTGGGGTTAAGAGCACTGTCTGCTCTTCCAGAAGGCCCAGGTTCAATTCCCAGCACCCACGTGATGGTTCACAACTGCCTATAACTCCAGTCCTAGGGGATCTGACGCCCTCTTCTGACCTCTGTGGGCACTTGCACACACAGAGTGCACAGAAGAAATACATGCAGGCAAAACATCCACACACAAAAATAAATAATTTGAGGGGGGGGCACCAACCTGGGCCTGTCAGGTGACAGCTTAGGAAGAGCAGTTTCCAGTTTTGTCACCGTGACAGCTCTCCACAATGCAAAGTAGCATTCAGACCATCCTTATACATAACCTTGGTCTACACATGGTGGGTGAATCACAAGGAAAACATTCTTCCTCCCACGGACTAACCACAGAACAGGGGTGTGGAGCAGTTAGACACCTTGGCCACGGCTGCAGAGACCACACGTGGTAGCACCGAGTACTGAACCCAAGCTTCAGAGCAAGAACATTTCCATCAGGGTCTGAGAGACGTTTCTGTTACGGCAATTCTGTTTCTCTGCTCTAATTCTGAGCTGGTTGAGCTGCCTTCTGATGATTGATCAGACTTCCTTTGAATTCTGATTCTAAGATGAAAAATACCAAAAAGAAAGGAGAGATGGAAATTACAAAATTTTGTAATAAACTTATCTTCATTTATATTTTTAATTTTATTTTTTAGAATTATTTTCATCTGTATGTGAGCATGTGGGTGTGTACTCATGCACAATTGTACACATCACATGTGTGCAGATACCAACAGATGCCAGAAAAGTCCATCAGGTTCTCTGGAACTGGAGTTTCAGGTGGGTTGTGAGTCACCTAATATGGGTGCTAGAAATCGAACTCAGGTCCACTGAGAGAACAGAAATTGCTTTGAATTGCTAAGCCATCTTTCCAGACAATCCCCCCAGCAATCCTTGGCCCAGACTATTTTTTTCCTGAGGCGGTAAATGGAAAGGTTTTTCTAAAACTGTTATTTTCTTCAGCTGAGCTTCTGAATCATCAAAGCTCAGCGGCGTCTATAACCACGTGACTTTTATAGTGAGCCCTAATGCCAGAAGGGTTAGGAAGAGAGCACATGGGGGGTGGGGAGGGGCTAAACTCAAGGAGGACTAAAGGCTGGCCTTCCCAAGATGACTTACCAGCCATGTTACAACATCAAAAGATGTTGGGCCAGCAACATTACCCCAGATGGGGGTGTCTGCCCCGGAGAATAAGATATAGTAGGAGACGCTTCTGGACTGCACAGTCATTTTTTCAATTAGTCGTGCGGGCAGGCTAATTGGTCGCTCCCTGGAGTGCTGCAAGATTTGAAGGAGTTTAGACCAGTGGTGACACCCTGTCCTCAGGAAAGTAATCAACCAAAGCCAGGCCAGGCTTCACCAAGTTCTCCAGGATTCAGGATAGGTGAACAGCCCCTGACGGGCAATAAGGAGGCATTTTTTCCTTTCCTTTTTCTTTTTTTCTTTTTCACCCAGAAATATATCCCAGAATCAAGGGACATATATCTGAGAACCTGCTAGATCTGGTCTGGGGTCCCAGCATACCGACTCACTGCATGGTTCTGGGCAATTCCTTCAACTTCTCCAAGCTCCAAGAATAATAACACTGTCTCCCAAGGCTGTTGCCAAGATTAGGGGACAACTCATTTCTCTCCACATTTAACAATCAAAGCTTTGATTAAAAAAAAAAACGCCTTCAAGCCATTGACTGAAATTATATCATTCTGGCCAGCTTTCTCTCTCTCTCAATCCTTATTCCAGCCTACCTCTCTCCGAATATTAAAAAAGGAAAAAGAGTGAAATGTCTTGCGATTTATTCTGTGATGAAATGATGTCCCTAGAATATAAACAAAGAGAAAGGCCTGAGGAGGCTGTTAAATCAGCTGGTAGGCAAGGAAACTTAAACTTTGCCTCCAGCCCTTGAGCAATTGGGAACTGTGGATGATGTTAGGATTTCTTGCAGGAGGTTTCCCAAAGGGCTTTGCTACACTTTTGGAGGAGAGGAGAACTATGTACAGGGTTCCCAAGAGGGGCTCATTGGGACCCAATATTACTAGCTAATTATCTGCTACACTCAGGCAAATAGACAGGAAGGGCTAAATTCCACAGAAGTGTGTGTCTGCTCTCTGGTCCCCAAGGAGGGGGTGGCGGGTGGGGGATCCTCCGCCTCTCTTCTGCTGACACGGCTTGCTTCTCAGCCTCAGGTAACCTTAAGGGATGAACTGTTTTCCTGCTCAGGAGATGTCTTCTTGCTGAAGAGAGGAAACTTCAGCCGCTGGCCAGTGTCACCCAGAGCCTCCCAAACCATCAGGAAATCTGAGGCTATGGGAAGTCAATCTCTTTGAAACGTTATTCCTCTGAACTTTGGACTCTAATGTAAAAAAAAAAAAAAAAAAAGCCAGGCACCCTTCTGTGTGCTGCTTCCTGGGGCTGTGATTTGTAACCCTGGGTAAAGTTAGTCCTCTTCCTGACAGGGCCCTTTGTCCTCTCAACTGTCGAATGGTCTATGAGGGCAGGAAACCCAAAATCAGCTTCCACTTGGAGCAAGCCTAAGAACTGACGCATTCAGCCAAGAGGCCAAAGCTTATATTTCATTTACTCTTGACCTGTTCTTCCTCTATTCCCACGATTTTCTTAATTTTCTTTCACCTCTACAATTCCAGAGGCAGAGCGCAAGGTTCCAGTAGCATTAAAAAAAAAAAAAAAAGCAGCACCAAGTCAGATGACTTGAGGTAGTCACCACCAGCATCAGGGTATGAGGGTTACTTTGCAAAATACCAGTCTGTCAACAGCACAGGTGGACTGCCGATTAAGCAGCAAAGGGAGGCTTTGCAGAGACTGTTAATGAGAAATGTCTACGTTCTGAAAGCAAATCCTTATGCGTGCAAGGCAGGGATCTTCAAAAATTAAATCAATTCTAAAAAAATAGTCTGGCAGTATCTACCAGCAATAATACTATCATCGGGTTTATAGACTGAAAGTTTAACAACAACAACAATGCATTGCGTGCCTTCCGGGTGCAGACTATGGGAAGTAGTGCTGATCCTCATCCTCTCCACTGCAGCCTCCACACCTGGGCTTCTACAGCTCAGGCGAGGAAGCAGAGTAACGGAGCTAATGGATACGTGTACTAAATGCGGCTGTTGGTCTTAGCATTTCAGAGCTTATAGAAAACTTCGCAAAAGGCCAAACTGAAGAAAGGACAGGTTCAAGGTCAGCCTCAAGCTCCAAGGCCAGAACCGGAGCACCGGTCTCACAAGAGCCAATGTAGGACATCATGTCCTTAGTTTAGCAGAGTCACACTGCAGAGTCCCAAGTAGTAAGACAGACATTGTAGTAGCAGGGACAGGTGGTACAGATGTCACTAAGAATATCAAAACTCAGGCTTCCTCAGAAAGCTGCCTTGAAGCTACAGTTGAAGCCAACTGGAAAGAAACCAAAACCAGACTCTAAGAAAAAACAAAAAAAAAAACGAAGACAAAAGAACCATTCACCCTTCCAACTAGTCTCCCCCAAAACCATCTGCTCAGTCACCCACTCCCCAGTGTGATGATGTCTTGGGCCAGACAAGGGCAATGTAAATATAGTCAGGAGACTCGCCGATCGTCAGGCTGGTGGATGTCCCAAAGGTCACTAGGAAAACATGCCATGAGGGGAAAAAAAAAGCTAATCGAGCATATCCAAAAGGTTGGTATAAGGTAAATGCTGGCAAACTGTGAGCTTTATGTAAGCCAATGACCAAGCACATCAGACATCAAGGACAAGGAGGGGAAATAGAAACAGTTCAAAGCCAAGCTTAATGAAAGCCCAAGGGTGTTCATTATGCACATCACCCCAGCAATAAATACTCCAGAAGTAAATCAAGTGGAGGACGCTGCAGAGGAATGAAGAAACACAGAGTAATCAAGGGGAAAAGAGAGTCCTATGCGTTGCTTGGTGCAAAGCCGTCTGGAACACACCAGGGGAGGGTGAATCGGCATGTGGTAAACAGAATGCACAAGTCTGGGGATAGCCAACCCAAGTTGTTCAGGGGAATAACAAGCAAAGCCGAGCTAGACAGTGGGAAATAAATCAGACACACATGGAAAGAGAAGCCAGGGCAGGGAACAAGGGCCTTTGTGAGTGACAGCCGCGGCCAGCCTGAGCCGATGGAGTTTTTAATCACACAATAATCAGGGTTATCTGCTAAGTGTTAGAGGAGTTCAGCTGGTTCAGCCAGTTGCAAGATCTTAGGGGCAGCCCTCCAGATCTCTCAGAGGGCCCCCAGGATTCCAAAGGTCACAGTCTTCTTCAAGGAACTTGAAGGTTGAGGAGCAAGAGTCAAAAGAGACACACTTCATCTATGAGGACACAAGGACAGAAGCAAAACCTGGCTGAGGATGGGGATCTGTGGTGATATCTTGCTTGTACAAATAAAGCCTGTCTGAAGGTCAGAAAATGGAGCTTGCCACTAGCTAACCATAGAGGTCTGGAGGTCTGTACAGACAGACAGGAAGTGAGATAGCTGGGTGGAAACAGGATATAAGCAGGGAGAAACAGGAACTCACTCTCTTGTCTGCTGAGACTCTAAGGAGGTAAGGTGTGGCTATTGCTTGCTCCTTCTCTCTGATCTCTCGGCATTTTCCTCTATATCTGACTCCAGATTTTTATTATTTAGACCAATTAAGAGCTCCATTTACAGGGAATCTAATGACCTCGGGGTGGTGAAGGTCACTGGTGAGCAGAAGCATTGACATTTCTGGTGTCAGGTCGCACACCTCTTCATGTGGGTCTGCACGGTCCCAAACATTATGAGGTGAATCACATGGCAGTTTCTAACCACATGTTAAAGTAAAATACCCATCACAGGACTTCTAACTGGGCCAGAAGTTTTAGATGCAGCAACTCCAACCCCATAACACACGTGACATTGTTACTACCGTGAGTTGTTATGAAGAACTAGTGATAATAATAGTAACAGTGATAATAGGAATACTGTGTCAACTGGGCACCACTCCATATGCTTCAGTGGATATTAATTCATTTCATTCTCATATAACTCTGTGAAACTGGAGCTGTTACTAACCTAGTTTGGGGCGCTGAGAAAGTGATGGGTCTGGGACTATGCCCTCACCTTAAACGACCTGATGTTTTGTCCTTAAGGCTGAACACCCTGGGAGATGCCCATACCTGAATAACTATGAAACCTATATACTTTTCTTTGAACCCCACACCACCCCAACCTTTGAGTAGGTTTTCAGTATTTGGATATACAAATTTAAGTCTCCCTTACAGGAAAAATTCTATAAAAATTCTATAAAACCACTCTAACAGCCCCCTTGACATTGACGTTAGCTGCATAGATTATGGTACAGGTAAATTAAAAAAAAAAGAAAAAGAAAAGCCTGTTACCCAGTTGGCCAACACACAGCTGTTCAATGAAGAGTTCAATGTCCATAAACTATCACCAACTCCCATTGTTTGCTCCTTGGTATCTTATCTTCTTCATGTTTTGGAGTGTTTGACCTTTGCCTCACATTTGGAGAGCACAGCTGCAGAAGGTCTGGCCTTGAGTAGGAAAAATAAAAACCTACATCCTTCAAGATTAGAAAGACGGGATATATATTATATATAATTGTAGAACAAGAAAGCGCAGCTGTGGGGAAAGGAGCCAGGTTATACACGGAAGCACAAAAGGTCAGTTGCCGGAGAGAACAGAGAGACTAAAGCTACAGCTACAACCTCACCCATGCAGCTGTCAGTCAAGAGGAAGCAGGCAGGGCCGGGAGGTGAAAGGGTGTGAGCCGTGCTCTTCTGCAACTTCTTACCTCTCGATGGGCAGAAGCGTGCAGACACGAGTCACTTCTATTTCTTATCATAAATTTCTTTTAAGTGAATTTTCAGGCAACAGGGGCCACACAGCACTGGGTCGTCCCTGATGTTTTTTTCACAACATAGATGACCCTGCTGCTCAGATACTGGAAACAGACAACTGACGTGTATAGAAATGGCAAAGCGTGAAGGTCCTGTGTCTTCTGTAACCTTCTATGTTACAGAGCCCAACACCAGCAGCCAGGCCCAAGACATGGGCTAGTTTCTCCACTGAGACTCTGAAACCCCCATTACTAGGCTCCCACAGACTAGGGAGAGCATTCCCATGCTATTCATTCTTACTGTCAACCGAGGAGTGTGCTTTCAATACACACAACCCAGAAGGCTCGGCATGAAAACAGTTTCGGTATTCTCCAAATACTGTTGTAGAGTGAGAACAAGTTTTTGTAGAATCTGTACAGACAGGAGAATCTCTGAGAATCAAAACCGGAAACAACAAGAAACTGGGCAGTCATCACAACTAACTCCTGGCTTTTGGTTACCTTTGGGGCACATGGAACGAACTGACTCCTGTGCCCATGTCCATATGCTATACTGTCTATCTATTCACGTCAGCCTCCTCTCCCAGCTGTGGCATCTAAGCACCTATGCTTAGGGATGGCAGGGCTCTAAGTTGCCTCCAAGTGAGCACTTCAGCAGAAGCCTTTCCCCCTGCAAATGGTGCCAAAAGAGTTGGCTCCCAAGCTCCTATGGCAGACGTTATGATGCCCAGGGTGCTTAGTATTCAGGTGAGTCTGTCCCTGAAGCACACCAAACTACCTTCAAACTTGTTGGTTAAAGACAACAAGCAAGTATCATGTCTAAAAGAGTGGAGAGGTGGAATTCTGGGAACACCTCACAGCTTCTGGGTCAGGGACTCCAGTAGGCTGCAATCATCTGGAAGCTGTAAGGGGGGAGGGAGCCCCAGGTCTTCACTTCCTGTCCCAGAATTGCCATCTTCCTGGGAGTGATTAACACAGTCTGTAGCCTCCTTTTGAGGAAATTCTTATACTCACCCACAAGCCAAAAACCAAAATTATCGAAAAAAGAAACATCATTATCAGAAAATAATCAATCAGTGTATGGCTGCTTTTCTCCTCATGTGGCCAAATACCCAAAAAAAAGCAACTGAAGTTTTAGATGACTGTCTGTCATGACAGAGGAGGCTTAGTGACAGCAGCTGGCTTCATGGCATCAAGGAGCATGAAGCTACTTAACTCACATCTTGTCATTAACAGAAGAGGACAAAACATAACAGAGGAAGAAGGCAAAAAGCAGAGATGTCTATAACCCTCAAGTCCCACCTCCAGAAACCTACTTCCTTCCTCCAGATAGGTCCCACCTACAGAAGAATCCACAACCCCTCTGAACAGCACCACCAGCTGGGGACCGAAAGTCTTCAAGCACACGAGTCTGTGAGGGACAGTCCACATTCACTTACCCATCAAGGACACAGGTTTGTTCAGCCTGGCTGCACCCTAAGCAGAACACCAACAGGGTGAGCAATACTAGCTCCATCGAGTCAAGCGCGAGTCATCTTCAAAGAGTCTTCGCAAATGTGGACCGCCGTTTAAAGGCCACGCAAGAAGCAGCAGAAGTGGAGGGCAGGGTCAGCCAACCTGTCTCTGTGTGAAGGCCACGGAGTAAATATCTTAGGTATCACGGACTAGGAAGTCTCTGTAACCAGCCCATGTTCTGGCAAGGGATGATACCAAATACACAAGCATGGCTGCGCTCCAAAACCATGGTTCACAAAACCAGCGTTGTACCAGACTTGCCACACAGACCAGCATCTGCCATACTATACGAGGCACAGAGCTGCTCAAATCGACACTGACAGGCCTTCTCATGAAGAAATATCTAGAAAACTTTACTTTGCTAAACATAGGCATACAGTTTATATTAATAACATTTAAACATCTAGTTTTGGGGAAATCTTGAGACTATTTTTTTCTCCCCCAGATAATGACTGGGTGTTCAAGCTCTCGGGCTAAGTTCGGTCTTTGACTTCTTAGAAGGCAGATAGTAGCTTTAAGCATCGGTTTTTCCAGTCTCTGAGTGCGAGGGGAAAGGACTGGGCGGGGGGCAGGTATAGATTTTCAGTTCCTGTCAGATCCATACTCCTTCTACCTCTCAGCCTCAGACAGCATGGAGCACCCTGCAAGGTCAGACAGTGTCCTCACCAACATAGATTCCTCTGGGGCAGCCACCGAGAATGTTGTGAGGAAGTTGCCCCACTTAGAATCCACCCCCTTCCCCTTCACACACCACAAACACGTCTTTTATTGGAGATTTGATCTCCAAACCAAACAGAGTCCTGATTTGGGTTTTGCTTTCAGTCATTTTGTTGAGTCAGTCTGAACGCTCTGCCTCGGAGCCACACCCTCAGCACCCAGACAGGTTTCTAAAAGACGTGTTATATTGCATGCATTAACTTGAGCGGTGCAGCTGCTCCCCTGTCTACCTCCCTGGAGAAGACAGTAACTCAGCCTCTGCCAACAACGCCGTGCCGGCAGGAGCACTAAGCCCAGCAAATCTTAATCTCCTCTAAAATAGTGCCCATTGATTGTCCACAGTAAACACTCCGTGTCCTGATCCACTCTCGAGTGTACTGATTGAAATTTATTTACTGTCGCTCATCATCATCAAGGATGTTCTGCTCAGAAAGTCACCAAGCAAAGCAGCCTCTGCAAGCTTGTAGCTCGAAAGCGGCAAGGTGCCTTGCCTTCCCAGTAAGGGCTAAGATTTCTCTTAAGCACCCCAAAACATAGAGATAAGATACCAACCAACAGGTGATATAGGAGCTCGCTGTGGCTAAACACTGAGAAAATGGGAACACTTGTCATGTTTCTACTTTGATCACTGAAGGATGTAAAAAGAAGAAACATTGTATCTAACAGCTGCTTCAGATTGTTGTAAGAATAGGGTTAATCACAACTTTCCACCTCAACCCACGTACATACAGCCTCTGAAATATGCTGTGACTGCCACTGTGAACCACAAGGTGTGCCAAGCATCCACAAGTGACGTGAATCTAGAACCCTGATTTCAATCAATTGGCGTAGACTCTTCCCCATCTCTCTTAACCCCAGCCTTTCTCTTATATGACTATTTTTTTTTCAACTACATCTCTATTTCTGGCACTCAGAATACCGTCTTCACTATCCTTGGTGCAGGGAGGGTCAGAAGTTGAACAATGACTCCTTACACGCTGCATCCTTCTATTTCATGCTCCCAAAGAGACAGGGATGGTGAGGGGCCATCTATACATCATGTCTTCTCAAGGCAGAAGCTCGTCTTCCTGCCCCTCTTCTTGACCCTTGAGCCTGTCGTATTCCCTCCGAGCCTGACCCTATGGCATGGCACTCAGATTTCAATACATATCAAAATCATCTGGAGGGCATGTGGAAACTGACCACTGGGTCTGACTCAAAGTTTCCGGCTCAGCTGGCCTCAAGTAGGTTCTGAACATTTACATTTTTAACTACCTCCAAGATGGCGTGACCATAGACCGGGGGGGGGGGGGGGGGTAGCATACTGACAGGTGTTGCCTGGGTATTCCGGGCATTGGGCATTGGGCAAACTGATAGGCTCACAGGAGCTTCACAGTAGTAAATGGCCTTGTGAACTGAGCATATCAGTTCCACCTCAGGCAGAAGCACAATTTACCTGCTACTGGATCCAGGGCCGGGAACTGAGGAGAAGTTCGGTCTGTAGATGATTGGACAAGACTATGTAGGAAGCAATGAGACTAGCAGCCCCAGCTCAGAGCTAGGGGCCTGTGCTTCACTCCGACTCCTCCTGTGTGTGACCATAGACAAATAGTTTCTTCCCCTTTGTAAAACAGTGCCGGAAGCCACAGCTACAGCCCTGGGAAGCCACTGTAAGACTTGGATGAGGTCATCTATACACATCATGTAAAGTGCAGTCTTTGGAGGGTTTTAAATAGGTTGATTGTCAATGCTCAGACATTTAGAACGGACTATCAAGGATAGGCCTAGATACAAAGATTGGCCTAGACCGAATAAGCAGTCTATGTAGAGAAGCGAAGGTAAGAAACAACTCACTGGACAGAGGTGAAAGGTTTGTAGCTTGGGTTTTCTGCTCCATGTAGAATCAAGCATCTGAAATGTAGTGGCCACTGACTCACTGAGGTGACATCAGGCAGCCAGAATTCAGGTAAGGCACTCAGGTGCTGGGGTCTGAGGACAAGGAGCCAGACTGCTGCTAACATCAGAAAGACCAAACTACAGTGGTGCCACTTAGGGAGCTGACGGTGTAGAATGGGCCCAGATTCTGGAGCAGGACTAAGCATACAGCTAAACTGAAAAAGGCCGAATGAGGAGGCACCTGATTGTAACCCCAGAAACTCAGGAGGCTGAGGCAGAAGGATTGTGAAGTCAGGCCAGCCTGAACTATATAACGAAGCACTTTTTTTAATGCAATAAAAAAGAAATTAAACAGAGAGTGAAGAAGCCAGTATGTGTGTGGCCTCTATCCACTTTGGACTATGAGCAATGCCTAGGCCTACAGGCAATGCACAACAGGCCACACAGCCCAAAGCTCCTCCCCCTACATGAGAACTAGGGTCTGTGTTCTGGTGGCCCTTCTATCAGTCCATTTTCTGTTACTATAACAAAATACCCCAAGCTAAGTAAGTGCAAAGAAAAGAGGTTCACTTAGTTGACAGTCCTGGAGACTCAGAGTAGGAACATCACAGCACCAACTCTGGCGAGTTGCGTCACACCACAGCCGATGGTATCACACGCAAGAGGTAGACATCACATAGCGAGACAGGAAACCAGAAAACAATCTAAGAGCTAACTGGGTCCCCTGAGGACTTCTGCTTCAGGAGGCATGCCTCCAAAGGCCTAAAGACACCCACTTAGCCTCTCGTCCCAACACCTCTTAACCTTGCCACACTGTCAACCAGACTCCCAGTGTGTGACCCCTGGAGAGCCTCAACCCGCATCCAAACCTGTCTCCCTGACCTCTGCTGGGCTTTTGCCTTCCACGGCCCAGATCTCTAGGGTTCGTCTTTGCTGTTTGCCAGGCAGTTTTCCTCACTAGCCCCTAATCTGTTCTTTCTCAGCTGGCATCAGTCTCTTGTCTCCCGGCCTGGCCTGTTTCTTTCTGTCCGTGATGAGATCAAATGACGCCGAAGCGTGTGCTCAATAAGGTGTATGTCCAGAACGCCTTTATTGCGACAGGCAGCCAGTGATAATTAATCCAACTTCGCAAACCCTTTTCGAATAAGCAACGCTATAATGACTCTCATAAAAGTGATTTTCTTACTCTCACAGTTTTCAGATTGCCCAAATATGGGTAACTTAGCTTGGTTTGCAAATTCCAATTGCTTAGCAATGGCTGCCTGGGGTGTTATGCATAGCTTTAATTACTAAATTTTCTTTTTATTGTTTTTTATTATTTTTTAATCTGATAGACATGCATTTTAAAGTTAATAGTCAAATAACTCTATGAAGTTTATTACAAAAAGATGGTGGTTCTTATCTCCCTCAGCCTCTGCCACTTCCTGAGGTAATTACTTTCTGCCTCTTCACTAATATTGACACTTTCTTACTCTACCACGTGGCTGCCTTCTTTAAAATTTTTTTTTAATTTTTTTGGTCTTCTAGTTTCAGCCAACATTTAATAACTTCCTATAAAATTTAATATTTTCATTTTATATACAACACTGCACCTATGTACACCTTAATTATAATTTTAAATTGACCAATATTTGAACCTTAGAACATTATTTCTATTTAATGCTGGTCAACAGAGGAGCCAGGTAATAACCATAAACATCTGTGTTTCCCACTACAATTTTTAAATTCTTTCTAAAATCAATTTTGGCGTTGCTTTCACTTAAAATTTTCTATGTGCTTATCATTAATGAAAGGTCTAACTCTGGACGGTTCTGTAAATGTCCCAGGGTGTTTGCTACATGGGGACACTCCCTCAATTTCGTCTTTATGTGTTGGGGGAGCATCCTGTGACCTTCACTGTCTAGACATCCTCCTTGGTGTCTCCTTCACCTGTTCTTCTAAAGACTCCTTTTGCTTCCAGGTTTCTGTGTCGTAACGCGCTCTCCTTCTTGGATTACACCCTTCTAGACATGGAACACAATACCAGCTCTTCCCTAAGAACTTTCTGGAAAGGAAGTGCTTTTTAGCAATTGGATCTGATGATGTCTTTTCTTTTTCCTCCTGTCCATTTGGTGTCTTGAATGGCTGTCAAAGCGAGGGCTGACAACCATGTCTCCCTGGAATTTGAAAGCATATGGCTCTGTTATTTCTAGGTATTAGCTTTGTTTGTGGAACACCAAAGACGTTCTAACCGTATTGTTTTTTGTGGTCTCCCCACTCCACTTTCTAGAATAGGATTTTTCTTCTCCATATCCAAAAATCTCATAGTGAGGTACCCTTTTTGTGGGTCTCTTCCCAAACAGGCAGATAAAACTCGGTGAACTCTTCCAAAATGGAAATGTATGTCCTTCCTACAGAATTTTCTTAACTCGTTTGGTTGATAACTTTTTCTTGTTTTCCTTTATCCTTTCTTTAACAGCTTTTATTATTCAGATTTAGACTTCTTGAACTAGTCCTTACATTTTGTATTAGGATCT